GTGTTCCAGGGACGTTGCGGCTGTAGAAGTGGATTTCACTGATGATTTCAGTGACAGGAAGAAAATGGTTATTTGCTCGGCCTACTTCTCTCATGACGAGGGGGAGGCGGTGCCGCCTGCACCGGTGATAAAACTGGCAGACTACTGCCAAGAGAAACGGCTTCTCCTGATCATGGGATGTGACGCTAACGCGCATCACACTGTGTGGAGAAGCTCGGACACCAACGAAAGAGGAAGAAAAGTGTTGGAGTTCCTAGCATCTACGAATCTGGAGATTCTCAACACAGGAGACGAGCCCACCTTCTGCACTATAGCGAGAAGAGAAGTGCTCGACATCACTGTCTGTTCCAGGCAGTTGATATAGGAGGTAGTGGAGTGGAGAGTCTCGACGGAGTCCTCGCTCTCAGACCATAGGCAGATCACCTTCAGGACAGCTAAGGCTAGGGGGAAAGAAGTCAAATTTAGGAACCCGAGGAGAACCAAGTGGGACTCCTATAGGGAAGACCTGGCCAGCAGTCTCAGAGGCTTCCCTAAGAGGCACGGGACTGAGGACGAACTGGAGACCTGTGTGGACTACTTGCAGAGGTCTCTGGTAAACTGCTACGAAAATAATTGCCCCGAAAGGGCGGTTACAAATAGTAGAGGAACTTCTTGGTGGACCCCTGGACTGCAGGGTCTCAGAGTGGCGGCTCGCAGGGCCTGGAATAGAGCTAGGAACACGGGTCGCCAATCCAACTGGGAGCTCTCTAGGAGAGCACAGAAGGAATATAGAGACTCTGTGGTTAGGGCAAAACTGGAAAGCTGGAGGAAGTTTTGCGAGGAAGTAGAGGAAATGCCCGAAACGGCAAGAATCTGCAGGATCCTCGCTAAGAACCCGGATGCGACTCTGGAAGCCATCGCACTCCCTGATGAGACGGTGGTGACTGGAGAGCGATGTCTGGAGCATCTACTGGAAGTGAGCTTTCCGGGCTTTCATAGGGAGCCGGGAGAGCTATTTGCATATAAGGAGCCGGGTTCACAGAAGAGCCCGACAAGCGGACTGGCGAATGGCGGCCAAGATTGTCATGCCCGAGAAGGTCAAGTGGGCAATTAACACCTTTAAGAGGATGCTGAAGTGACGGGCGAACTCCGACGCGAAAGCGCCATCATTTCGATGGTACTAAAAATGAAATGACATTATCGGCGCAGCCTACGGACCTATGCCGCGTAGGTCCGTGTGTACGCATTTGTTTGTAGTGGTGACTCACTACACTGACGTGTGGTCTGTGTACGTGTGTCATCGGAAGTTTGTAAACAAACGATGCTTGCGCTTATTTCCTCGACTGAAATTTCGTTGCAAGGCTGCAATATAATGTCCGAGAAAACATAAGCGTATACAAGGTGTCAAATAAATACAAACTAAATATAGACAAAATAATAAATGAAAAATATACATATAATACTATATATATCACTGAA